TGTCAAATTGAAAGGGGTATTAGATTACAATACGCTATCTCTTTTGACTTAGATTTAGAAAGTTGGTACCAAGTCTAGTGCCCAATTATTGTCTTTGGCTCATCATTTCATAACACTGTCTTTGATTGACACTAATAACAGCTATATTCTTATTGCTTTGTTTGCTACATTTTTGTCCTTTGTCCTCAAAATTTTCTTTTTTTTTTTTTTTTTTTTTTTTTTTTTTTTGCAGTTGCTAAAATCTTTTTTAGGCAAGAGGCATAAACTAAACTTTCCCCAAACTTCATTAATTAAAATTTTAGATGATGTTTTTGAAAGTACTTAGTATAAAACTTTTGAATTGTCAGGGCTGCTTCATTGCACAGTTTCAAGAATCACCATTTTTTTTTGTCTCTGTGAATAGTTGTACCCTGGAGTGGCACCATAGATTAGTATATTCTGTTACATATCCTAGATGAAGGACTATATATGCTGTCTTTATAAGTGGCGACAGGCATATGTATGCTGACAATAATAACTGTATGAAATAGTTTCTGGAGACGGGAGGAATTACCAAGTAGAAGAGCACAATCCTTCTTACCTGAACTGTGGTTTCCTGCCAACAAAGTGGGGCTCACAGAGCATCTTCCCATTCTACTGGTGACCACAGGTGGACCCGGGGTTCCATCCCATTCCTGAGCTTTGACAGGCTCTCTGGAGGAAGATGCCCCATGGTGCCCTCTCTCCTTCATGTCCAACTTTGGTAATGGCTCCGTGCTGTGGCTTCGGACTTTCAGCTCCTCTGTTGATTCTGTGTATTAACCAGAGTTATATTCTGTTAGACAAAAGTAAATTCTTCTCAAATTCCTTTTAAAATAATAAGCAGTGGTTTTCTAAAATGCTTTCAATATGTTGGAAACTTAGACTATGTTGGAGACTATAACATTTACATACAGCGGACATAGATCCCACGCGGCATTTTTTCTTAAGTGTATAGGTTAATATGGCTGGCAAATAAAAGTTTTTCTGTTTGGAGAAAGAACACCTCAGTGAGTCTCCAGTCTTCTTTATTAACACTCCCTTGTACACATCTTCAAGGAAATTTCCTTGTACACATCTTCAAGGAAACTTCTTAAAGAGCTCATTACATTCACTCTCTGTACTTCCCATTTTCCATTCATTTTGCCACCCACTGTGACATGAGTTCAGTACACCCATTCTATTAAAACTGTTTTTGCTAAGATAATCTACTGCCTTTTAATGTTTTTCATTATTCATGATAGAGAGTGCATGTACCTGAAAGTGAGAGGAAAAAGAGAGGGTTCTGGTCACTCCACAATCCCCTTCCTCTAGTCCTGTAGCCAATGAGTCCTTAGGCATTCACAACATACCTGGCCCATTTCAGACTGGCCAGGCCAGGAATTCGAACCACAGTTGCCATGTGGAGCCCAGCTTCTCTTAAACAACACATTATCACTGAATCACAAGTCAGCCCCCTACTGCCTTTTTTAGGGGAGAAAGATTTTTGCTATAGGGTGTGTTCACTCACTGAAGAGACAGAGACAGAAAGTGAAAATTCACCGCTGAGGGGTGGGGGTGAGGGGGAAGAGATGGTCATGCTGCAATCTCTTCTCCCCCATTCTTCTTTTGGGATTTCGGACCTGCATGCACATGCTCCCAGCATGAGTTTTAAACTGCCTGGTCTGAGACTTGAACCAAGGTTTACTGTGTGGGAGTCCAGTGATGTAACCATCTTCTGGTCCCCCTACTGCCTTTTTTTTTGGAGAGGTTTTTGCTAGGGCGCATGCGCTCGCCAGACAGACAGAGAGAGACAGAGAGACAAAAAGTGAGAAATCACCCCCCAGAGGGGATGGTCATGCTGCAATCTCTTCTCCTCCATTCTCCTCTCGGGGTCTTGGGCACACATGCACACGCCCCCGGCATGAGTTTTAAGCCACTGGGTCCGGGACGCGAACTGCGGTCGACTACGTGGGAGTCCAGCGACATGGCCATTACGCTAACTGCTGGTTCCCTTCCTACTGCCTTTTAATTGACAAATTTATAAGATATTTTTCAGCCATTGACAACTCTTTCATTTTTCCTTATATATGTCTTCAATTCTCTTTGCTTCACTGATAGTTCATCTTCATGTGTTGTGTGCTGTTTCTAATAGCTTCTCTATGTCATTCATACCTTCTCTTCTTGCACACACCCCATACAAGCTGGTTGTCTCCAAGGCACTAGTTTAGCCACTGTCTTTTTCACTCTATGCATGCTCTTTCTGTGACTTTACTCTCCAAGGTCCAGCTAGCAATCATTTGACGGTTAGTGATTTCTAAATATTTTAATATCTGCCTTGTTTTTAGACTCATTTATCCAACTGCCTACCAAATGAGTCCACTTAGAAGACCTATGGATAACACAAATTTAACATTTAGATACTCAGGTAAGAACATATCATACTAACTTAATGCTTCCTCCTCTCAAGCCAACCAGTCAAGCTTGAAGTTTGTCTTTCCCTTTCTTTAACTGCTACTCCTCAAATCCATTAGTCAGAAGATTCTGCAGGTGTTTTTTTTTTTTTTCTTAG